AAAATGATGCAGCCTGGCAATCGTGAATAGGTTACGGTCATTCAGGCCATCAGCCCGTCGGGCTATAGCGTTCCGCTATATATCATCGTTGCAGGCCAATATCACCTCTCCACCTGGTACACGGAATCCGGTCTCCCATACGACTAGGTCATCGTAACGTCTGAAAATGGATAGACAACAAATGAAAGAGGTCTAGACTGGGCTCGGCACTTCGAACGGCATACAAGACCGCGTGCAAAGGGTCAATACCGCCTCCTCGTCGTCGACGGATACGAAAGTCACTACTCCGCGGATTTCGAGATTTTTGTAAGAAGAACAACATCGTCACCCTGTGTATGCCGGCTTATTCGTCTTATCTACTCTAGCCCTTGGATTTTGGATGTTTTGGGCCTCTAAAAACGGCGTACGGTTAAGAAACCAAGGACAAGATGCGTCGGGGTAATACGTATATTACTAAGGAGGACTTCTTCCCGGCGTTTCACAGGGCTTTTACGTAAGCGATTACGGAGAAAAACATCTAGGGAGGATTCAGAGGGGCAGGAATTGTGCCTTTGAGTGTAGAGAGTGTGCTCTCAAAGCTTGATGTGAAGTTACGTACTCCGACGCCTCCAGGATCCTTCCCGATAACACTACCGGTATGGACTTCTCAGACACCAAACAACCCAACGGAAGCATCTTCTTAGTCAGAACTTATGAAGAATCGAATCTACCGTTATTAAAACAGCTCACTAACTTCAATTATCGAAGCTATAGAGTATCTATCTAAGGGGGCTCGTAGATTCATGTACTAGATCGCCTTATTAAGATCCGAGAACTAGATCCTTCGAGAGGAGAATAACCTATTTAGTCGACGCCGGAGAGCTAAGAAAAACCGTCTCCGATAAGGAGGAAGCCTCACTATAGCTGAGGGAGAGGACCTTTAGTCGTAGAGAGAGGCTATAGCCCAGGTGGAGGAGGAAACGCGCCGGAGTAGTGGTCGCCGACCGAGGCCTGAGACGGGCTAACGACGATGTGGCGTCTGCGGGAACACTGGTCATAATGCGCGAACATGTCGATTCAATGAGGAAATGTCTGAGGAAGAGGACTCTGAATAGTTTAGATTGAATCCATGAGGTGGGTGTTGATATTTGCTCCTTCATGTCATGTGGTCGTGGTTGGGTGGCCCACTCGCTTATCATGTACGTTAGGTAGTATTATACCCTCGTGGTCTCTTAGTCTTATAGTCTTGTAATTTAAAGTTATAATCTATAATAGAAAAAGAGCCGTGAAGTCGGACGGCTAGATATACGGGATCGTAAAGTAAGTAATCTTACTACTTCCGTAGTGATCGACTAGTAGAAATGATTGTAATTAATAATACGTTATAAGCTTTTAAAGCCTCCGTTATCGAAAAGATAGAATATATATAATATAAAACGGACCGGATTTTATTAGTAAGTCCTAGTTACTTAAATTAATAAATAAAGAGCTAATTACTAACTTAGAACTAACTCTTCTAAAGCACGTATACCCTTATTAATTTCAGGTAATAGAATTTAACCACTAATTAGTATTAGTATATACGTTAGCAGGGCAACTATATGGTTAGGACGAAGTATTAATAATGGTCTATTATCGCTATGTCTAGAGGTGGAAGGAGGAGATTGTGGGCTCTGCCCACAATCTCCCAGAAGTGGTATGTAAGTGAAAGGGCCGTTTGTAAGTGCCCATACCGCCTTCCAGATCCATCTTTTCTGCCGACTGCTCAGAGATCCAACACAGTCCAATAGAAGCCTGGGCTACCATGTGATATGAGTGACCCTGGGACTTTACTTAACATATTGCCCTAGGGGAAAACTATCCTAATTGTATACTACATATCAAGCTTTCGAGAAAAAGAAAGAAAAAGACCAGCGTGTTTGCACGGTCAAATAAGAACTACCTGATTTAGTAACAACCTCACGCCTCACTGCAATATGCCTCGCACTACGTCTATGGTCGTTCGCAACGACGTTCTTGAACACATGCTCCACGGGAGAAGAGGCGACCTGCTTAAACGCCTGAAGTAGGCAGATCGCGAAAGCGTGCATATTACTTTACTGTGTTCTTTTACCTCATTGGCCGCCGAATACAAGCAGTGCAACCCAAGGTGGCCAAAACTCGGACATGAGATCCCAACATGCATGGAGCTCCGCCATCTGTCTCTGCAGCCTGCTCCTCTACCAAGTGGCATCCAAGGGCGCAGCTGCCCTCCTTCGGCCAATTGGGCAAGATCTTGCTATCCAGGAATTACCAGTTGGCTTTCAGGGCATTGATTTACTCTTCTGACTTCTGATCAGAGCATTTTGTTGGATTCAAGTTGAGCTAAGTCAAGTCGATTATCCGAAATGTCTGGCTGGCTTGGTTGCACTCCATTATTAACAAAGCACCCTGGGGTATTTGGTGATTATTCTCGTACTGACAACTGCACATGCAATCTTCCAAAAGTGACAAAAATATATTGCTAGCCGCCCCCGGGTTCTGCATACTCCCTTCCAACGTCCAAGGACATGATCTTGCACTGCTCCTTGCTCGCCAATCGTTAAGGCATACAAACCCAGGAATAAAAAGTACGCCACTACTTAAATATCCCATAGATCACATGTTCTCATTGAGGTGTTTCCTCGACTGTACTCGAATGATCCTCACTACAGCTATCTCATCATCCTTCGCTCAGTACATGATCTCAACTTTCACAGGCTCATAGCCTGAGACCAATCTCATCACCACACCAGGCAGCAACACAAAGCACTTAGCCCAGACATAGATGGATTTGAATTGTACTGCGCCAGGAGGCCCTCTCAATGCTTCTGAGGACTTTATAGGATATGGGGCAAGGCCGCGACTTCAGGAGGACCGTACGTCTCAATAACTAATAGCCGATAGCCCCACAATTATATAGGCTGGAACAAGAGTCGGAACAAGTTAGGATAGTTATAGCCAAATCGGAAACGAACGCGAGCGCCAACGCCTTCGACAAAGACGTTCGAAAGCGTTTTCGTAATTCATCCTTGCGCTCAGCGACCAGCAGCTCATCACTGGCTTCGCTATCCTCATTACCGTCATCTCAGGTGCGGGGAGCTTGTCCTAATTTGAGTTCTCCGTAGCGCACAGTCTTGCCTGGTTTTCCTCTATGATACACCTGGCTACCCTCGACATCCTCAGACAGAAGCTTAAGTCTCAGCATCAGTAGATGTTTCATTTGCAAGTATTTGGCATAGTATGCTTCCTCATTCTTTTGACATATACGACCGCCGTGGTCGCGGATATAGACAAAAATCACAAGGATAAGGCCACTATACCAGCAGCATATTTAGCCTCATCAGCTAGAGCCGGAATCCTCATCTCGCAGGAAGGCTTCCTCCTTATCCTTATATAGTGCGGATACATTTCCCGTCTACAGAATCTCTACTTAAAAGATCGTAATATTGCGCTATTGCTCGACCTTATGTTTTCTAAACTTGAACTTCTTTTAGCCGAGGTAAAGGCTTTATCATCTAAGGTGGTACGAGGTGAAGCTGCGGTCCACCGCAAAAGCGAGGTAAAGGCTCTATCGTTCAAGATGCTGCAAGATAAAGCTGCGGCCCATCGCAATAGCGAGGCTCTTCTAAAAGTCAAGTCCCGACTCGAGAAACATCAACCAGGGCCAATTTACAAGTTTGTAGCAAAAGTCTTTGGTGATGGGGAGATGACGGGCTTTTTGGCTGGCTTTCGTCTCTTAGATATTGGCGCGCGACGTTCGATTGCGGGAACCCGTTACTCGTCTTCGCTTCTTTCAACATCACCAAAATTGATATTCACGTTCGGATTTGGAGTGAGCCAGTTTATTTTATGTCGCTTCATAGAATCTCCAGATCTGACCCCAGAGTCCTACGAGATGGCGTTCGGTCAGGCAGTGACTATTTTCTTACTCCTACAGCCATTGATGTCAGTGGGAGATGCATACGCAGGTGAGGATCTATCAACCATGACTACCCGTGAGGATCATGTGCTGATGTAAACTCAAGAGTATCAAGCGGGAGGAGCAGCCGTTCCTCTTGGCTTTGCAAAACATCAGTGCCAGACGAATGGCGATGATATTGATTCAAGCTCGGTGGAACCAGTACAGCTAGGTGAGGACGCGAACGCCCTATCCCTGCGGGACTTACCGGCGTCGAATATCACAACAACAACAACTTGCAACTATGTCACACACTTCGACGAGGTCAAACAATACTTGTTCACATCCGCGAGTGACCCAACATGGTTCCTCAAGACCTACAAGAAGACATGTATAAAAAGATTTTGGAGTTGAAAGAAATCGAAAACCGATTTGGCATTGGCCCCTCGATCCTCCTCTTCATAGTGGACATCTTCCTATCAATTCCGCTCGGTCCACTTCTCGTTCCATTCGACTATTATGATGCGGAGAGGCTCCCGCTGGTTATTCTCGGCACCATCTGGATGACTTCGAAATTCAGAAGAACGATGGCAGCTGTAGTTCCTACGCTCGAGACATATTCTCCACGCGGCCCTTGCAAATCCGAAGAAACTTATCTTTGGACGGAAAGTGTTCTTCTATCGGCCGATGAAGAAGTCACGGATAATGCCGCTTCCTCAGCTGAGCATCAAGAAGATGTTTAAGAGATGTCTTCCAAGGTCCCGGCTTGAATTGATTTACAGTGGAATTTCAAGTTCCTTGCTCATCTGTTCAAGGCTCAGTGTACCTTTCTGTCTTATATCAATATTCCATAAAGGGATGATGGTATCTTTTGCCAGGGGGATACGAACTTGATCATGAGGGTCCAGGGACAGGTCAGAACCTCGGACACACGAACGGATGTACTTCGAAAAGTCGATGAGATTCCACGTCACCATTTGGCATTGCACTCAGACGAATGCATAGAGCGAGTACTCTCACATTGATATGAGCAAGCTTCGACTCACAGATGGCCTTGAGCTTTCGACTCAATGTTCACATATCACAAGTGGGGCTTTTCAAGCACACGTATCATTACATGTATACTCCATCACCATGCCCAAGCACGAGATGTGAAGCCTATCCTAGACGCCATGCCATGCCCTGCCATGCACTCTATGCAGTTTTCTACGTTCTTTTACGACCTGGCGAGACTCTATCCCAAAGCCCAATGCCATCCAAGACGACGCCGTCTACCCCCAGACGAAAGGTATAATGCTACGCTCAAATCAACAACCAACCCCTTTCCGCAAGTTGACCACAATCTGCTCAAGACTCAACCTCCATCTCCAAATCGGGATCAACCTCGGTCCCCAGATCCCTCTCCTCCAAAAACCGCCTCCCAACAAGCTCATCAGGCAAATACTCCTGCCTCACCCGTCCCTCCCGATAATTCGGCGGATACTTATACTCAGCACCGTACCCCATCTCCCTCATCAGCCGCGTAGGCGCATTCCTCAAATGCAACGGCACAGGCAGCGCCGCCGCGCCAGGTTCCTTGAGCACCGCGTAGGCATTATTCAGACCCCTGTACGCCCTCGTGCTTTTCGGCGCAAGACTCAGCGCTACAGCGCAGTGCGCGAGAGGGATTCTAGCCTCGGGCATGCCGATTTGCTGCGCGGCGGTGTACGCTGCCGTCGCGAGGGGGAGTAAAGTATTATCCGCGAGTCCGACGTCTTCAGAGGCGATGACTACCATCCGCCGCGCGACGAATAGGGGGTCCTCGCCGGACTGCAGCATGCGCGCGAGGTAATACAGCGCCGCGTCGGCGTCTGATCCGCGAACGGCTTTGTGGAATGCGGAGATGGTATCGTAGTGCTGGTCGCCCGCGCGATCATACACAAGCGTCTTGGTCAGAGAAGCCTTGATGCTCTCCTTCGTCGTCCCCGCGCGCGTGGAGAGCGAGAGGGCAAGCTCAAGCAGGTTCAGCGCCGTGCGGGCATCACCGTCGGAGAAGGCTGCCAGGTAGTTCACCAGCTCCGCATCGACGAGCGGGCTACCGGGGAAGTTATTCGTCCTGGTCTCCTCTTCAATAGCTCTCAGGAGAATCCTTGCCACGTCCTCGCTAGGTAGCTTAGAGAGTGTAAACGTCCTACACCGCGAGAGCAGCGCGCCCTGGACCCTAAAAGAAGGGTTCTCCGTCGTGGCGCCGATGAGTGTAATTGTCCCAGCCTCAACAGGCTTGAGAAAGACATCCTGCTGCGATTTGGAGAAGCGATGTATCTCATCGCAGAAAATAATAGTCTTGCGACCCGTAAGCGCGCCCTCGTTGGCCGCCTCCGCAAAGAGCTTCTTGCACTCGGCCACGCCGGACGAAGTAGCATTCATCTCGATGAAGCGCGAGCCGACACTGTGCGCGATACACCGCGCAATCGTCGTCTTGCCCGTTCCCGAGCCGCCCCAGAGGATCATGGAGGGAACCCGGTCCGATTCGATAAGGCTGCGCAGCACGCCGTGCGGGCCGACGAGGTCCTGGCCGCAGACTTCGTCTAGGGTTCTGGGACGCATGCGCTCTGCGAGGGGTGCTGCGCGAGCTGTCTTTGTGCGCTTTGCTGAGGGCCCGGTTTCTGGTGGTTGTTGTGCTTGTTGGGTTGCTTCGCTGTTGGTGTCTGTGGCTGTCGCCATGGGGGAGGGCAGCTCGCCTGGCCCATCGTCGAATCTTCGTTTCATGCCCGCCATGGGCCGAGTTGTCGTCGCAGTCGCCGTCGTTGTGCCGTTGGAGGGGGTCGTGAGGACTTTGGCGGGAGGGGCATGGCGCTTCGGTGCGGGGGTCGAGAAGAAGGAGGAGGCGGGTCGTTTGGCTTGTGATGAGGTGAGTGTAGAGCCGGAGGTGCCGTTGGATTGCGTCGCTGTCGGCGGGGAGGATGTTCGTTCGGGGTTGAAGATGTGGTTTTGGCAGCCCGAGTCGATGTGGGAGTTGATCAGGGTCTCCTTGACGGGTTTATTGCAGATGGGGCAGTCGACTGCTGCCATTATGAAAGGAGTACGGTGCTGTGACGCATGCAAGGGGCGTTGTTTGGCTCAAGATTCAGTGGTATGTATGTGAGTTGGTCCGGATTCGTCAATTCGTGTCTAATCGACAACGTCGGTGCTTCGGCGAGGTAGCGAGTAGCAAAGTGTTGCGAATTCGTGTGAACTTGGAGGTTGAACTCTGACTGGAGGAGACGCGTCTTTGGGGAATTTTTGAGTGCAATGACGCGCCTGGCCTGGCAATTGAGCTCGAAATTCTAGTGGGGCACGGCACGCCTCGCTCCGCACTTCAGGTATCTCACGTCCAGTACCTACCTACCTTAGGTACCTACCTCCACTGCCGTCTGGAGGCGACTGCCAGTGCCGGGGGCCAAGTGGGTGCTGGTTCTTAAATAAGCGTCCCTTTACCTTAGGTATAGACACTACCTTTATTGTTGTTTCTTTACTACGTCTCTTGAGGCATTTCAGGAACACGTAGAGAGTCTTTCACCTTGAGAGCCTAATGATCAGATAGACAGTGGTTTAAAAAAAAAAATTTGAGTTAAGGTACGGATGTTGAGCGGCAAATCATTTTGTCACCCATTTCCATGGAAGTCGGTTCACAGCCGTCGGGTGAGAAGCCGCGCTCTCTCAAACAGTGGGGCGCCCGGCACTCGGATTCGGTCGGAGATACACTGTGGTCTCCGTCCGCCCGCCATGCTCGGCATACAGACACGCGAATAATCTCATTGAAAACAAGTAGTTCGATTCACTTCTCAGGTTCAATTGAAAATGAAACTAATAATCTCAGTGATTCACGCCCGGATGATGAGCCGGATCTTCTCGTAGGTATCATTACACCTGTAAAAACGCCTCCCAATGCCTTGTCCTTCCTCAACCCAAATTTGAAAATACTCGGAATGGAGCCGTGATGTACAAAGACGCCGTAGCATGAGTTGATGCTGGTGCCGGTGACGTTTACCGTCTCCCCTTCTCTATGATGAAGACGGTGGCCGTGTATGAAGTGTATTTCGAAGCCATTGATCCGCTTACTAAAGCAGCGCATGCTCATGCTGTGTCTTCTCTCGCTGGCGATCATTCAGTCTGTGGAGCATTACAGCCTCTCAAACCATGAAAGACTCGCCGCAGCCACACTGCTCCTCTGTCAATCTGTTAGCATTTGGCTTCTGAGCTTGGTCGGACCCGAGTAGACTTACTGATGTTCGGGTTCTTAAACACAAACCGCTGGCTCAACTTATCCTCAACCCAATCCATCTCGCTGCCAATGATGCTAAACAGCGCCTTGCTGTCAATCAACACCTTGACGCCGTCCTGCACCACCTCCTCGTCGAAGCTCCCCGGCTTCTCGACGTACTCGAGGTGGTACGCCAGGCCCGAGCACCCCCTGTTCCGCACGCCGACCTTGATGAGCTTCGGCTCCGGCTGATCCAGCATCGCGCGCAGCTGCTCTACCGCCGCGGGGCTGAGCTTCATCGCCGCCTTACGGGCGCGGAGCGTACGCTTTGGGCGGGCGGCTGGCTTGGGGGTCTGGGCTGCTGCTTCGGTGATCTTTGGCGCAGCGGCGGTTGCTGTTGATGGCGTCGTCGCGGCCTTAGAGGCTGTTGTGGAAGCGCTTGCTGGTGTCTTCATCGTCGTCGAGGACTGTTGTGTGGCGGAAGAGGGAGAGGAAAGAGTGCTCGGTGTTGAGGATTGTTGGTGGGCTGTCGCCATTTGCGAGGGGATCTTGGGGGGTCTCGTCTCGTTGACCTTCGGCAGAGCATCCGGCGATGCGATGGAGCTCTCAGGGATGCCGTCGCCTCGTGCCGGAGGAAGTGTGTTGTTTGAGTAGAGAGGGTGTGACTGGAAAGACGGGCTGCCGTAGGCGCGACGAGCAGAGGCGCACTGCAATGCCGTGCAGGAGCGGCGGAACGCCACTCTGCTGAGTATCCTCGGTGCATTCATCTTTGTGCTGGAAGTATGTGTGTGTGTGTGTATTTGCGATGTGAGGTAGTCGAGTTTGTTGGAAGGATGCACACCAAGGTGTGGTGAGGTTGCTTGTCCTTTTTGTTGTCTTGTTCGTCGAAAGATCAATCAGGTGTTGAGGTTGAGAGGGTTGGAGATCATTCGACGGTGACGAAAGAGACAGGCGGGAATTGTAGGTCGGAGGTTTTTGCGGTCGGGATGGATTGGCAATGGGAATGTGGCTAGCACACGGAGCAAAGCAGAAGAAGCTGGGGCCAAGGGGGGGGGTCATTTGACAGGTTCTCGCCGTGGCGCGGCTATGACATGGTGAGCGGTCCCCAGTGAACCGGGTGCTCTGCAGCCAATCAAGTGCCTGTAATTTGTCAACGGCCGGGACAGATGACAAAGCAGCCCTTGTGGTTTCAGCAGTGACTCTTTTTCTTTAGTGCAACCAATGCCAATGGTACTCTGTCTATACTGACCAAATGTATACCTTGAGGGCCACAAAGGCATTGCTCATTCTTTTACCTGTTCTCGAGTTGCGATGTTCGTCCAGTGTTACATCGCCATATTTCCTAGAACATCGGGGGTGGTTCGAGATTAGGTCTGCCCGGAAAGACAAGGAAGAGCTCTACATCCAATCCCCCGCAGCCTGTGGGACCACCAGTCTTGATACGCCGAACAACAGATCTGAAGTTCAAGAGCCCGAGGCTGACATTAGCTGATGTCAGGTCCCGAGGATGGGATTATGGTCAACCAGTCTCAACTCAGCATGCCAACCATCAATCAAATCAGACTTCAGCAAATGCCTCATGAGAATCATCTCGGGTGTCATTAATATCATACAGTCTACCACCCATCCCTCCTAGCCTCACAGCTCACCACTCACCGCTCCACCAACCCTCTCACATCAACAACAGCCGCCCTCGCCATCTTCTTCAACAGCGTCCTCTCATCCGCCTCCCGGTACCGATCCCACGTATCAAGCCCCTCTTTCGCCTGTATACTCAGCGTCTCGTACCCCTGCTTAATAACCTCCGTCACCTGGATGCTCGTGAGGTTCCCCTTCTTCTTGCCGCCCTCTGCCAGCAGCTCCTTGTAGTGCGTGCTCACGTTGATGAGCGTGTCAATCGAGTTGCTCGGCCGCTTTCCGAGCTGATAGCTCTCCTTGAACTTGGTCAGCGTGTCGCCCGCCTCGACCACCTTGTAAAAGAGGTCGTCGTATGCTGCCGGTGAGGGCAAGAACCCCTCGCCTGCCGAAAGCGAGAGGGCGATCAGGTTGACGACGTTATCTAGCAGGAGATCGATCTGCGAGAGGTCCTTCAGGTCCGCGACGTATTGTGTCAGAAACCGGATGAGATTCAGCAGCGCGCGGAATAGATCCGCCCAGTGATATGTCAATCGTGTCCGTGATCTTGAGAGGTAGGAAATCACCCGCAGCAGGATACCGACGCAGAGCGTGTAGAGCCCGACGTCGAGCCTCCTCCGGAGGTTGTGTGTAATGCCGTCGACCATGGTATCAAGCACGGCCGTCGCCAGGATCCGGTCCCCTCTGACCAGCGGGAGGAACGGTTGCCTTTGGCGGCATAGACGGACTTGCCCCTTTGACTCTTCGCTGCATATCCGCTTGCATAGCACGGGGTCCTCGATTAGTAGGCGGAAGACCATGAGGTTGAGATGCGAGTAGTGTGTCGTGCGTTCGGACAGATGGGCGTGCTGGAGTAGGTAGGAGGTGAGTGATGTGAAGGCTGCCAATGGCTGCTCTTCGCCCTTTTCGGCAGGCAAGGTCGCGAGGTTGAAGCAGAACAGCTTGTTAGCGTGGGTAAAGTCGTAGGATGCTAGCAATACGGCCGCTTCCTCGCCAGGTCTGCTACTTGTCAGTTGCCACCTCCAATTGCCCAAAGAATGATGGACCAATACTCACAGCTTTGTAAACATCTGCTTCATGGTCTCGGCATCGTAGACAGGTTTCTTCTCCGGCTTGGGTCCCCTTGCAACGGCGCCCAGGCCAATCATGCGGAGTGTGCCGTTGAATGTCCATCCTTCGGGCAGGTCATCCTGCACATCCACGAATTGTGTTGTCAAACTCTCGCACGTCTGGCCGATGCATCGGATAATCTTCTTGATTGTCGCCTCGTTGACAAAGTCATTTAGTCGCATCTGGTACGGGTTCTGGAACTCGAATTTGTTGTAGTTTGCCAAGAGGCCAAGGAGGGAAAAAGGGGTGAGGATTCGCTCCGTCGTGTCGGTGTCTTGTATGAACTGCAACGTCGTCAATCAAGGCTCGAACAAGTTGTAAGGGCAAAAAAGACTAACCTTCATCACTGACGGGAAGAGATCCCTCTGGATAAAGTATGTCAAGAGACTTGTCTGGTATGCGCCGGCCGTCACAGCCAGGACAACCTCGACTGCCTTTTGTCGCAATTCCACTGCGGCGAGTTAGCTTACCCAAGACACGCTCGGCAGTGCTTCCCCGTGTGCCAAACTCACAGCTCTTCCCGCTCCTGGTGATCTGGTCCACAGCTCCCACAAAGTCCGTAAAGATGGTATCGACGTAATCGATCCCAGCCAAGACGATGATAATATCCGAGCTGGGGTGCGCATACTTTTTCGAAAGCGCCGAGCAGAGGAACACACTAAGAGTCTATGATCCCATTGAACCCAAGTCAGCAACTCTACCAGTACCTCCCAAACCTCGCCCCAGCGCAAAAAGCCAAAGACCGGCAACGCAACTCTGGTTTACTCACGTCAAGCGCATGCAGATCTGCGACGCCCTGTCCACTCTTCATAGCAGTGACAGCGCGCGCGAAAAACTCTCTCGTATGCTCCTCCAACGCAAGCATGTCCGCCGGCCCGAGGCCATCGAGAATCCGCTTCAGGGCGGCGCGGTCGGGCCGCAGGAGGAAGAACTCGCGCCAGAAGCCCTCGGAGCGTTCTGGGTCATCTTCGACGTCCTACTCATTCATGGATTTCGTATCAGCGGGTTGCCTGAGAACAAGGTCGTGCTTCTATATGCAGAAGCAATGTCTAGGAAGGTACGGTCATGCGGTCCAGAAGTTGAAGATCGTCAAGGGGGCATGCTCGGCCAGGCGCAATGGGGGCAAGGTCGTGATTCGTGGGTACAAGAATCGAGGAGGAAGAACACACACCTAGAGATTGAATTGTTAGCTACAAGTTCTATATGAACTCGGGGACTGACAACCTCGGACACACAAAGACAGGATCGAGGGGTCACAAAGGCAGGGGGAGGCGGAGCTGTCGAACCTTGAACAGCGACTCGTACAGCTGTACGATCTTGGGTTTGAAGACCTCGGGCGGGGCCTGACGGGTCAGCGGTGACGCTTCCATTCCCGAGCTATGGCGATCTGTGGCGATGAGGACGAGAGATTGACAGTCCAGAGTATCGAGCCGGAGGCAGCGGGAAGGGTGATCTGTAAATGTTTGGTTTTGGGGGCTGACGACGTCGGTCCGGCAGCACGCGAGCTAACCGTTGCGATACGCGTTCCGATAAAAAAAAAAGATGGAGAGGTCCCCCTTTGCAGCTCAGGGATTCTGTACCGTTTAAAACCTGGATTGGCACGGTTTTAAACGGAGACTTGCTGCTACTTTTTAGAGTGCTCAAGGCCGAAAGGACTGTATTAGCACATGCGCATTTCCCCCTGAACTCGGGCTGCCTCCAAAAACAGATCGGGACACTTATCCAGCACCAGAAACATCCATGGCATGTTTCATGCACGGGCGCATCGTAATCCAGTCTTTCTCCGTAGGGCTGATGGGCCTTTAATTTGCAGTTTTACCGAACGTACTCCGGTGCGCACAGCAGGCCCTCGGAGGTTTGATCGACTACGAGCCCACCATCAACAAAGTTTGGTATTCGCGTGATTGCAACATCGGGTATCTTTCGTAGGATCAATACCTTGGCTAACATAAAGGCATATGAGAACAAATTGCTTATAGGTACCGATCAGGTCAAGCCCCAGGAACCTCAGCCACTATTGAAGATCCCCTAATCCAGGAGGCTGATGTCCGGCCTTTGGATCTTCCCTGAATCTCCCAGCATCCTGACTTAACAGATAGTCGATACTAAACCAGGCATTGCAGCGCCGATACTGCTAATCTCAATCCTGTGCGACAAAGGCTACCAAAACTGCTGCACATGCTGCCGTTGCTAAGATTATATCTGTCCTCCTACCATCCGTCATGACGGCCAAGCTGGCTGCAAATACGCTGGTGAAGACGGCGATCATGCAGAGGCGCAGGGCCTCGTTGCGGAGGAGGTAGAGGGTGATGATGGCGGCTTGTATCACGAGAGAGGCGGCGAGGACGGTGATTATTGTGACGAGGCGGGTGACGTGACGAGCGGAGTAGTACTTGACATCCCCCATTGTTTCGTGCCGTGAACCCTGAATAAGCTTGTGAGTTTCCAAGAATGAGTGAGGGGGCTGGGGAAGTCGGGACTGAAAGTGTCGTAGATATAGATACATGGGCATGAAAAGTACACTGGGAAACAAAGAGGTTCTATTCCAATGGGGCCAAAGATAGACCTACCGGCAGATACCTTCCAGCCAAGCTTGGAAGAGATCTGGTGAGGAAGTCCGTCTCATTTGACGGGCTAAGAGCGATGAAATCGCTCCTTTGGCTGAGGAGGTCTGTCCCGTAGCCGACAAAGGGCTGCTCGGTCTCGAACCAGCCCCGAAAAACTCGAAAGACACGATCATTGGGCTTGGGAAACTTCATGACTTGGCTTTGGAGCAAGAGAGCTTCATCTGAGAACAAGCTCTACGTCATTCAGGGGTTCAGGTGCGGTCTTCTTGATAAGTACGTAGGTACTAAGATGATGGAAATGGACTTTCATGAACTCGATGTTCTTACAATAATCCTCACTAGTCTCCTTCAGCCGAGCAACAAGTCTCATTCTCGCAGCCTCTCTTTCGCAGTTTTCCTTTGCTCTTGCTGAGAAGGTCTCCCAGCATTTGGTGGAGAGTAGGACCTCCAGGTTCATCATGTCCCGGGCATCCTCTTCGTCTAGCTCGCGCATCTCGTTTTCGATCTCGAGCATGGCTGATTGGAGGTACAGTAAGTTTCTCGAGGCGAGGACCTGAAAACTTCTAAAGATTGTGAGTTCTGGGTCGGATGCCGAAAACTCTGCGAATCTTGCGTAGCTTGGTATCTCTGAATGAGAAGATGCCATTTTGATAACGCTTCAAGATTCGCATATCAATTTGGACTCTTTTACTGATATTTTGATGGTGTTTTGTTTGATCCTATGTAAATCTGAAAAGTCGCATGAGGTCATGGAGACAGCATGATTGATAGGTGACATTCGACAGAAGACGAAAAGAGGGGGCGGGCATGATACCGCGATGTTGCATGTGACCTCACCGCAAGAACAGTATTTTTGCACTTTTCTGGAAGAAGAGATGAGGCGAGCTCGCCCACGAATCACCGGCCACAGGACAGCCTGCATATCTCACCATTCCAAGTTTGAAGGGTTACAACATGAGGCAGCGAAATGGTTTTGGGTTCCTGAGTTGTCTGAGCCCCCTTTTCTTTGCCCAGTTTCTTAGAAGTGTGCCGGCATCAGTCGCCATAGCCCAATTGACTCCGAACACTGGCCATAAAGCATCCAATGGCTCTCGGCCGTCAGCTACCTGCTCGCGACCGCCTCCAAGGATAGGGGAGTCAGAGGGCTTGGTACTTAATGCAGAAGCCCCTTCCCTCGATGTACTTCGCGCCTGGCCAGAACGTTCATCCCCGCTTCAGAAGTCCCAGGCTAGCAGCCTGTCAGGTAATTGTGACCCTTCTTCGTGCCATTTCAATCGCAATGATGTTTTCGACGGAGCGGGAGTCATCCTTGGACTATTACTCAGTCCTAGGGGTCCCAAGGGAAGCCGATGATTATCGAATCATATCAGCATACAGAGGAGCGATATCTATCGCAAGGGTCATACACCCTGATCAACCTCGATCGTCAATGAAAGAGAAGCAATTCTACGATTTTCCGACAGTGAAAAAGGCATACGACGAGGTGCTCTCGAATTCTGCAGCAAGGAGCCGATACGATGACGGGTTTAGACTTGAAATCCTTCGGGAAGAAGTAGCCAGCTCGATTAGGGGTGAGGAAATAGGAAAGTTCTTGCAAACTTGGAGCGCTTGATCCCAACATCTAGGCAGATGATCACAAATCACCATGGAGCCGAGGCCTCGGAAGCATTAGTAAATGGGCGATATTCGGCGCATACCTCTTCACAGCTCAAGAAATGAACACTTTGCGACGGCAATGGTCTCCTTCGAGGCCTCGCAACGAATATTGCGAGCTACGCGAAGGCGAATATTCCGTGTATAGAGACTGTCAGGCCGATAGATTGGTGACAAAAGGTACCATTGACGGACACCACGTCGAAGCCATGCCATACACCGGCGCCGGATGCAACTTAGTGTCCGCGTCGCTGGCTTCACGGCTCGGTCATGTCATTTCGACAGGAAGCCAAGACGCAGGCGGCTCAGAGCGAATTCAGATGGCCAACAGCAAGTTTATGAAGACTCTCGGTTCATTTGAAGCCGTCTGGAGGTTCGCAGACAGCCCGGATCGGGGCTGGACGATCTCGGTCCACGTTCTCGAGGATTGCGTCTACGATCTCGTCCTGGGCTCCGACTTCCTCAGGACCTCGGAGACGATGCGCAAACACCCGCAGCGTCTCGAGCTAGTTCAACGTTCGCCACGGACCATGGACCGGCAGCCTGTGCTCTCCATCAATAGCCTAGGACCGGTCCGCCAGCACATCGTGGGCTATTTCGGCGGCAACAGGGTGGAGGCGCTGTCGGATTCGGGCTCCGAGTCCAACCTCGTTTCCTTTGAGTACGTCGCCAGGCGAGGCCTGTATCAATCCGTGGATCACACCAATACCCGCGTGGTTCAGTTTGCTGACGGCACCACGCGGCGTACCATGGGCTCGATGACGGCGAGGTGGGAGTATGATTCAGAGGGCCGCAGAGAAGCAAAGTCGAAAGAAGGCGAAGAAGAGGGCTTTGAAGTCGAGTTTCATGTTCTTCACGGGTGCACGTACGACGTCATCGTCGGCTACGATCTTCTCCAAGAAACGCGCGCGTTTGCGATCCATGAGGATGCCTTTGTGGATGTTGAACCTCATTCTCACACATCCGGGCTCAACTTGGTAACGTGGCTTCCGAGCACACGCAGAGAGCCGAACTACAAGGGCAGAGAAGAGATACAAGCCGCTGCTTCCATTGAGATTCAGGAACAAGAGGGCCAGCAGCAAGCTCAGGCGACGTCTCTGGGTACCGAGATGCAGTCAGTCGGTCCGTCGGAACCGAGGCGATCGCCGGCAGCAGCGAGCTTGCCGACGCACGCGGTTTCTCACTTCAACTACAGTAGCAGTAGCAGCAGCACCTCTGAAGACCGAGCTCAGCTTATCAGAGCCGAGCTCGAGCGTCGAACAGTCATGGACCGGAAGCTAGCGCGGATGCCGCAAGGCCCCGACAAGGAGTCAGCTTCGGCGGTAGAGAGAGAGCATCGTCGTCAATTCGAAGCCATATGGTTGCCGCTCGCCAAATGGGACAGCGACTTAGACGACGGCGACGGTCTGGGAACGGGTAGGGACGGATCAAATACCACGACCGCCGTCCGCGTGCCAGCGATCGGTAGGGAGTCTCCTATCCGGAGGTGGCGGTTGAGAGTGGATAACAGCTCGCGAGACGGTTGCAGGGCAGCAGAGGAGATGGAATTTGATATCACGAATATGGGGCGGCGGTGTTGAGTTGGGGGTTGCGACGGACAGAATTTCAAGTATCCTCTAGCCTCTCATGATATTCGCTTACAACTTACATGTGAGTACGGAGCACAAGGGATGCGTTAATGATAGCGGGTTTTAACGGCGGGCTTGGTGTTCTTTATTCAACATTGTTGAGCATCAATTCAATACAAATGTTTCTTCGAGATCGAGAACACACCGTCATCTTCGGCGCGGGTAAAGTTGATGTCAATCTTGTCCATCATGCTGTAGTAGCGCAGAACCTTCCATTCTGGTCGGCATTGAGAGACGGGACCTAACAATCTCGTCGTAGCCGGCCTATGGGGCCGAGTGATGTTTCCGGCGCCGCCGAGAGTAACCCCGGAAAGACAGGACGACCGAAGGTGGACGAAAACCTGGAATGAGATCTAGTAGTACAATCAAACCACCTGCCGCTGGAAAAGGCATACCAAAATTCGAATAATCAAGACCAATTGGCCCAAGATAAAGTGGCCTAACATTGTCCCTCAAACAACATGCTTCACGCAAACTTTTGTGAATAAGATTGTGAGACGAAAAGATCCCAGCAAAAGCCGATTCTCCTTTCTGGGCTTTGTTATATCATTACCCATTCTGCCCCTTATCCCTTTTCCATTTAGGCGTCACTCGTCCTTTTTAATATTTTTGGTTCCCAAATCAGTTGTGTACTAATCACTTTGTCACGAAGCGCAGCTCCCTCATATCGTCATTCATATCAAGGACCAGTAATTACTGTGTCGGATCAAACGGGCATTGCCGTCGTATTCACATTCCAATGTACCTATCGAAAACCCATTGCTCGCTGACCAGCGCCCCTGAGGGCAGGGTTCGTGTACATACTGGCATCCTCACTGATGCCTTGAATTCTCCGCGTTGGGAGCATCTGCACTCTACATCCTCTTCTCGACATGACGCACAATGCTGCTGCGGCCCATTCCCATTTGTCTCCGAATGCTGTTTCTCTCCACCTGCTCTAACCCCACAAGGCGGCATCTAGAATGCGAGCTTGCAGCTCTCTTATCGTTCTAGGCCCTCAACACCTCGTGTTTTGTCCCATATCAGACCCCAAAATCATGTCGGTTGCTGCCAAAAAGTCTCCCTGCCGAGGGAGGCGGGGGACAATGTGAAACGCCTCGTTGAAATCGCACTGCCTCTATCAAATCACCCAGTATGCTGCTCTTCTGCTCGGCTTGACCATGCTTTGTTGCCCATTGACTCCCTGTCTCCAATGGCGAAATGTCAAAAACTGCACAATGTGCTTTTTCTCGTACTCTTAAGTCGACCGTCTAGATGGCCCAGCTGCCTCGTCTCTCTCGTACACCCCATGCAAGGGAATCCAGGCTGTCCAGATCCGGGTGTTGTCGAGCCCACTCGTAGATGTAGGCCTTCAATGCCTTCCATCTTGGGCACCTCTTCTCCTCCGCCATCTCGGCCTCAGCCGGTTCCATCAAATGACCGCTTGCCATCTGCTTTGCGTCGTCGGCTTCCAGCTCCTCGACACTCGTCTGAGAAATCTTGGCAAGCTCCTCGTCAAAGGACCGTGCCATGGCGGGGTATCCCAGTGACAAGTAATTGTAAACCTGGGTAATGAAGATGTCGTCGAATTCCGATGCAATCTTTTCCTCCAAAGCTTTTTCGCGCTTGAGGCGGTCCTCAAGGCCAGCAAGCATGTGAAGACCCTTGGCCTCGCCCGATCGAACGCGATGCTCAGCTGTGTTTGGTGTCAGAGTCGCAGACGCATAGTCCGATCCAGGCTCATCCGTCAATGAGCTCTTGCTAAAGGCTGCAGCGAATGGGTCCGCAGCAGGGGTAGCGGCTGGAAGCGGTGTATGCAGCAAATTGGGTCCTTGATGATGCGGTGGTGCAATGGCCTGATCGCTTTCGCTGCCCCGGAAGCAGTAGCCCCTCCACAAGCCGGCTTCTCCCGTGGCATCCCTGTTTCTTTCCTCCATGGTCGGGCCTTCGGTGAAGGGGTGGTCAGGCTCAAGTTTGGTCTGCTTCGGCGAGGGGCACTTTCGGAAAACAATGTCCTTGCCCAGCATCGGCGGGGACGCCGCCTTGCGCATCTTGCGAAACTCGCTTGTCTCCGCAGGGAGTCCGAAGTTACCGAACGGGCGGCCAAATCCGCCTTGGGGCTTTCGGAAGCCAGTCTCGGGAACGACCTGCGCAGGTGCGGCGATGGGCACTTGGGCAGGCTTGCTGGCCGCAGCTGGCGGTATGTATGGCATGCCGGTTTCGCCAATTGGCTTACTCACCGACTCTGGGGGAGGAAGCTCCGGACGGCGCGCATCTTGGGTAGTGATTGGGTCAGGCGCGATCAGCGGCATGAAAGTCTCGCCAATCGGTTCCAATGGTCCCTGGGAACTGTTGTCGGTTGTGTGGTTTCTCTTGTTAGTCAACCACATGGGATCCGGCGGTGTGTCAAGTTCCATCCTATCGAGTTCGGAATCATTCTTGGTGCTTTCGTCGTCGTCATCGTCGAAAACAGGCGCGTGCTCGCCTCTGGCAACAGCCAAATCCTGGGCATGCTTTTGCATCTCCTTTTGCCAATATCCAACCTCTGAAGACTTGCGGCGAGGAGCATGGCCATGGCGGCCCCTTGGCTTGGCCTGAGTGCCGCTTTGCTGTGGTGAGATGCTCTCTGGCGTGCTGTCGTCCCCCGAACTCTCTCTGAAGTAGAAATGAGCGGCGCCTCCCTCACGCGGGCGACTATTGGGGAACGCGGCCAGAGCAGCCTCTTGCATCTGGCGCTCAGCCTCCATGGCAGCCCATTCCAACATGTAGGTGCCTGCATTCTCGTCTTCCGACTCTCTTCGTGCGCCCTTAGGTTGCCTCTGAATTTGTTGAGACTGGGAAGCGGGTGAGGCAGCGCCATCGTTCAACTTGCGTCTCGACTTGTTCCGTTGGAGGTAGATGTGGTTCGTGTAGGGTGTGATGTCGGTCTTATCGGTCGGGCGAGTGGCAGGACCAGCGTCGCCCTCCCTACGGGCGCGCCTAGAGGTCTCGATAAGTTGGGGAGCGAAGCGGCGTCTCGGTGCCGGCTGGGTTTGCAGAGTGTGCAATTGGGGCGGCGGTTGCTGCATCCGCTGCTCGAAAGGATTGGGAGAGGGCGTTCGCGGGGTGTGTTCGGGAGTCAACTCAGGTGCTGGGCCTGTCTGATGCTGGTGTTGTTGCGACTGCGGCTGTTGCTCTGAAGTCTTGCGTACAGACTCGAAGGTGGTCTCGATAGGCACGGGGGCGAACCGCCTCCGCGGCTCGGTGGATTGAGCCATGGCGGAGGGCGGTGGATGGAGGGTTGGGGAAGGATTGGCGAAAGGATAATTCGAGGTGTCGATCCGAACGAGAGGAGATGGACAGGGCAGAGAAGACCAGGCCGGATGGAAAAAGTTGGCTGGGGGAGGTTGTGTTGGAGAACCCTTTTTCAGTGAGACGAGGGGCAGAGAGAGTGATGGGACGAAAGAGTGACGCAGAGGTGGCCCCGGTGTCGGTTGAGGGCTGTAGACGTGGTGGGAGAGGCTGGTCTGTGGTTGGGCGATGCCGCGATGAGACGTTGCTGTCGCTGCCCGTGCGGCGCGTAGATGTTGGGGAGGGAGAGGAGGGGAAGAGGAGAGGAAAAGGGAGGTGAGATGGGTAGATCGTGAGTTTTGTCAGGAGGACAAGAGTTGGAGGTGACGAGGTGAGGTACCTTTCGCCTTGTTCGGTTGAGCCCTTGTGTGTTAATCGTGGGAAAAGACGGAGAAAATGCAAAGGGGCATGCGGCGGTGACCGGTCACAGGGCGTATTTGGCTGGAAGCAGCGACTTTGGATACGCAGTGGAGGGCAGCGAAAGTCGGGAGCGGCAGCAATGGACGACACGGGCAGGGAACGGGGAAGAGGGCAAGCCGCAAAAGCAGGATGAAAGTGACTATAATACAGTGAGAATAGAAGTGTCTGATACTTGTTGAATACCAAGTAGTCATGCGAACATGAGTGAGAATGCAGGCTTGAGGAGATACCTTTGGGCTGTCGGAGTCAATATTGAGTCTTGTAAGTATTGCCTCGTATCGGGTACCTTTGGGATGCCCAGCAGATGGATAAGATACCTCGTTCCAGGAATCCAAGCAGGTACTTTCTATGGCGATTAAAGCAGGGCCAGCATCGCCAGCAGACTGACGACCACGGCGCGGACAGGGCGGATGCGAGGGTGTAGTGGGGTTGGGACAGGTTACAGAGTGGGATGACAACTACGTACCCACACACTGTGCTAGGTACCTGATGGATGTACTTTGTACTCTGTACGTCTCCATGGATGTGCTCGCGGGGCAGGAACGAGGGCAGTCACCGATGCCGTGGAATGAATGATGTCGGTGTCGTTCCTTCCCTCACCTTCCGCTCCTCCATCTACCTTACTTTGCACCTGCCTCGTATAATGCTGGGGCATGCCTTCCTCCCTTGAAATTACAAAATTGAAGGAAGGAAGAAGGCAAGAACAGATAACAAGGAAAGTGACTGACTAAGGTATCTCATCTTACCTAATACTCTGTAAATAATTAAAACATCCCAAAAGTCCAGACTCGACGTGGTCAGAAACACGCCCGATGTCGCACAATGCCCCCGCCCGCTCTCCCCGCTGTTGTATCCGTTGTAACTTGTGTGCACGCAACCTTCAGTGTCTCTCTCCAACTTTCAAGTGTCGAGTCTGGAGAAGGTGAGCATCCGGAGACAAACACAGTCGCAGCCGGAGACAGCCACACCTTGCAGGTACATGGCTGATCCCGCCGTTGTTCCCTCCAATTGACCAATTCCTGCCCTGAATATCCACGATATCTTACCATTATTCTCTCAATTGCCTACATCACTTTGTACCTTGACCGTATCGGCGGCTCAAGCGAACATACTCGAATGCCCACAAGGGTCCTTTTTGGTCGCGTGTTTGACCACTTGCCACAGTACGCATCCATGTCTCCCTACTCCCTGAAATCTCCAGTCTTCAGTCGCGTCTCCAGTCTCCAGTCTCCAGAGACCACCTCCAGAGCACCCATTTCTCTCGTTTCCCCCTCTCTGCCCGCATTTCCTCTCGTACCCTTAACATAATAAGGTGGGCACCAAGGCCACCTGATCTGACTTGGGAGGCGATCGGTCCAGGGCAGGGCAGGGAATAGAGCCCCGAGCCACGCTCCAGCTGACTTTGCAGACCAGATTTTACGTCTTCCCGCCTCTGCTCTACTGCCAATACGGGCATTCGTACGGATACATTTCAAAGTGCCGCAATCCAGTACGCAGTATGCCGTACGCCACAAGACATCCGTATCCGTCCCTACCGGTCTACCAAGGTTCCTGACATCATTGTCTCGACCAATTCGGTCTCTCAGAGTCTGACTCTATCCATAGTAGACGTCCCGCTCAGCACGGCGACGTCGACCCGAGAATCACAGCCATATCAATGACCCGTTATTGTGCATGCCATCCTGGCCTAGAACCCGGGCCAGCCTCGCTCTCCCCTTTGGGCCCACGAGCACTCGAGCGTCGACTCTCGACTATCGAGCACCAGACACTGGACAGCAAACACACAGCGGCATCATGCAGAACCAGGTGAGCACTAACAGGTGCGGGCAGTGGGCACCGCTGAGCACAGCAGACGACTCTCCGGCACCAGACCATCAGAGACCACACCAGAGCGATGAGGAATGCTTGGCTTGCGCAGTGAGAGCCCGCCAACGACAAAAGACGTTGGTCATTAGCGCCAGCACATCCAAACTCTCGCCGCCTTCTGTCTCACGGCCTCGACCTCGACCACTATCAACGCCAATGCAACGACATGGAGAGAAGAGGAGCCCCTAGAGACAACAGCCTGTCAGACTTGACGGAAATGGCGTCTGTTCGCCCCCGGATCTGTCCCCAATGCGGCCATGCCTATCAAACTAGGCCGCTTCACAGCCCGCTAAAGCTTCTGCCAACCGAACTTTCAAAAACTTAGACTTGCGCGCCCTCTTCTCTGCGACTCTGTGACTCTTTACCAGCCCTCGACAGCAGGCGATGGATTCGAGAGCTCTGTCACAAGGCCACACACTACTGGCTCAGCGTCCAGCTGCCCCTTCTGTTTACCTTTGCATCGCTCCGCGTTGGGTGAGGTGCTTCTTGGTTCTCTGAGCTCTCGGAAGCTTCTCACCGATCGAGGACCCCTGCACCGGCGCTAGCCTCCCAGCGTTCCATTCAACAATCATACCGTGTCTTCGTCTTCCGCCTCCCGCCTTGGAAAGACAACAGAAGGGCCAGGCTTATGTTGTCTCTTCACGACACCCTCAACGCCAGACTACGGGGCACCCCCCCCCCAGGAATGCTCTCTCTGCCTTCTGTACGGCACGGCATTTCACTATAGACCTGGGGTAATCTCGCAGCCCGGGGATACCGTATTGCTAAGATGAGGTAATGAGGCGCTGACGTGGCTGAGGTTCTATTTGCGAATCAAGCCCCGAGATTAGCTACAAACCCTGACCAAAGCATTTTTCAATGCCCGCAGCCCAACTCACGATGCTTCCGGGCATGCCATTCCGATATGAATGGACCTCATCAGGGATGGCTCCTTTCGGGGAAGCCTTCCGCAGAGCGTCACTCTTAGTTGCGCTGCGGATACACTATCAAGCACTACCCGACACCTCAACTGACGCCATGTTTTCTTGGGAATTTGGAAACATCGGACGACTGCCGCTTCGGGATCAAGCAGTTGGACCTATTGAGCCACGGAAGTTCGCAATCGACCCGTCTATTGTCCAAAGATTCGCATTGTCCAGAGCTTGCCAACCGTGCCAGCTCATCGATCCAATGCTGAAAGCATCCCACATTCCACCCACGAAGGCGAACGAGCAGACAGCAAGACGTTGAGCGAGGAGCTGGGCAACGGCAACGTCGGTCAGCGTCACATCACGTTCCTAACAGTCGCTTCCTGTCTGTTTCCGCACGGCCTACGGGGGTCACTTCTTCTCACCTACCTATCTCGGCCGGCACTCGACGTGCGCCTCATCTGATGATCTGAATCACAACCAACAGTCCACCACTATCCGTACCAGTATCCGGGGCAAGCAAGCATGCTCACCGACGATCGCCGGCCCCCATGAATGGCTGAACCCCCACACCGCTGCCCAGAATCCAGAGTCTCCCCACGGCAACCTACCTTACTTGCAACGCCCTTGTTTCGTTATCTCTGCTCCTCCATATGTGAAACTTTTTGGTGTTACCACCGTCACGCAAACGACAGTCTGGTCTTTCCAATAATGACAACAACTCCTGGTGTTCACCGATACCGGCATGAGGCTATCTTGCCGCTAAAGAACGCTACCTGGGTAATGGATGAACCCATCAACAGACAACACACTCTTAGCTGAGTTCGTCCACAGGAACCCCATTGCGATGCATGAAGCTATGGAAAAGGGAGCCGCAAAGATTCCACTCCAGTCCAACTTCACCTGAGCCAAGGCATCAACCCCGGCCGTCTTGATCGGTGAGAACTCACGACGACTTCATCTTTGCCCGCACTTTCAGCTACAGTCCCGAGCACCTAGAGCGGTGCGATGGCACACGTGCCCGATTGTTGCTTTTTCCTGCCACGCGCGCTCGCCATGATACCACCCTCCAGCTGCAAGCCACATACAGAGAAGTCAGTTCTCGTGATAATCAGGGACACAAATTCGACATTATTGGCCGGCTCGTCGCTTCGCTGCGGCCGCTAAAAGGCTCTGATGCATCTGACACACACCGCTCAGAGACCTTTCTGTTGAGACTAGTCAGAATCGGTGTCCATCCGGAAGGATGGTGCAGCCAACCGGCTTGGTGCCCGCTCCTCGCTGAGTCGCGGGCCTGGCCATTCCTACTCTGGGACCTGGCCTTCCGTCCGGGGGTTCGACGTTTCTGCCCTCCTCGCAGCCCCGGAAGCCAACATCTGACCCCGGGACGGCTCAATAGGATGCGCTACCGGCTGCACCCGGGACCGGCCGGTCGGCTAGGATAGACTTTGTCTCCGCGTTTACGACCCCACTAGGTCCGCTCGCCGCCGGGTATAGGCCGTCCTGACTCGCTGAAGAAGCGGCACTTGGGTCTCGATCCGACACAGCTTTCAGGTGTATCGGAGACCTGTTTTTTGGGGGCTGACTGTCGCTGCCGCTACTATATTCACAATGGTGTTATGTTCGAAGTTAAGCCAGAAAATTCCCGCGAAAAGGAGCGGAGTAGACGTTGCGGTGCCGAACCACGCTTGAGTCTCTACTAGTCCTCGGGTCAACATGTTCTGGAAACATCG